ACATGAAAGGGCAAGAATTGCTCTTGATTTGCTTGCAGAGCTCCAGGTATCATGACACAACAGGTACTCCGGTGACAGGACTAAGATTGCAATACCTTTCTGATATTTGGGTTTAAATCTCTCCTGCCTGACTTACTGGTGCAAAACGGGGGATGTTGCTACCAGGCGTCAGCGCAGGACTGCTGGCTGTCCCCTTTCACACAAACCGTGAATATGCCATCACCCTCCTGCTAACATTTGCTTCTAATCAGACAGATTAAAGCCACCAGTGACACTGATAGCTAACTACATGTCCTCTGTAGCCACAAGAAAACATCTTCAATGGATGCAGAAAATCAGGTAATGAAGCTATGCACCCCAGCCACCAAAACACATCTCCCTGCAGAGTCAAACCAGAGCTGGAGGTCCCCCCAGTCCTGTGCTTGTAGTACCTCCACGCCGTGGACCTGGGAGTATGCCCCTCATTGTCCCAGAGACCCATTCACTAAATTGTCCCATTCACTAAAGCACATCTACTTCCATCACTGCTTTAATGTATGAAACATTTCAGATCATACCATGTTTGGGAATTCAAATTAGGGAACAGAACCACAGGCGCAGTATTTTACAAATTCCTTAATGAGTAAGATCCCATCCTGTCATCATAGCTGCAATCCATAGCTCACAATTAAGGCATATACATGTAACTGTCTAATCAGGGCACGCATTTATGACAGTATGTAATTCTGAAAGCACGTGTGTCTGTGCAATTAGTGTGGCACATGTAATTATGTAGTAAGACAATTATGCAGCAAAAGCTATGAGGAAACATTGATATTATTGGAGGGAGCCTGTCTTTGCTGGGGATTAGTAAGTGAGCAAGGAGGAGGGCTCCCAGCAGGGCAGAGAAGCCAGGAAGGAATGCTAGAGGAGCAAAAAGATACAATTAAAAAAATCACCCAGTTTTTCTCTCAATGCATTCCAGCAGAATCTGGGGACAATTTTGTGAGGTCACAGCAATGAGAGTATGCTCCAGACACTCCTGTGAGGAGCAGAAGTCAATCTACTGATGAATTACCTGAAGAAGGTAACTGGGAAGATCATAAGGATGGAAGCAGCTGACAAAAGGAAACTTTTCAAGACAGTCCAGGCCACACAGCCGGTCCAAGGTAACTGCCTGGGTCTGGGAAAATGGCAGAATTTGGGATGACAACACCATGGGTGGGAGGAGGCTCGGAAGAGGGTGGTGTGATGCACAGAAACCCCCTGCCTCAACTGTTTGGCAGAAGGAGCTGAGCTTGCCAGGGGGCTGCTTTTGCTCCCCCCGTGATAAGTATGTACCAACAGCTTTGTATTTGCTGCCTACAGGGAGGAGGCTTTTCAAAGCCTGTGCCATTACAAAGGCCTGTAAATGGGAAAAGGGCTGCATTCAATCCTAATTGTATTCAGCAATACAGTGTTCAGAGTGATTCTCATACACTGCTCATCTAGACCCAGATTTTCCAGAAGTCACTGTTACATTTACAGTTTCTGAATGTGCATTCATTTCTGTCTAAGTCAAGATGCAATTGGGTAATTAGTGTCATTTCTACAATGCTGCTGCACTTTAGTAAACTGCAGTTATTAGCAGCTTAGAGAATTATTAGCATATTTCCTCCTTGGTTGAATTCTTTATCTACAAAAGTGTAAGTGTTTGGGCAATCAACTCTTTTAGAAGGAAAAAATGTGGGTGTGCTACGAGCAAGACACAGCAAATGTACTGCCAGTGCCTTCCTTTGTTTGATGCAACAGAAAATGCATATGACAACATGTGGGAGGCAATTCTTCTGAGCCACAACGACATTCTTCTGAAGCAATAGTGTTGGGGGGGGAGAGAGGAAAAGATTAAACAACTAAAAACCATTTCATAGTTTAAAAAAATCTAACTCACAGTTTCCTCATTGTGGGCTTCTACCAATTACTCAAGCCCAGTTTCAGGACAGCTTTTGATGCTGTTAGTCTCCCAGCATCATTAGCATTGTTGACTTACCATTTCTTCAAATTTCATTTTCCTTTGGACATGTCCCGCACTGCAGCTGCTTCTCCTCCCACCGACTGATCACTGAGCCAGTGCTTTGTTCAGCCCTTTCCCCTCTGCTCTTGGATCTGACTCTTGGGCCTGCTATGCCTCTAGCAGTTTTAGTACAATAGCATAACTTAAAATCACATTTGCATACAGTTGACTCACTAATCCACACCTCCCTGCTGATGTCAGTCATCTTCTTCTTCACCTGCTGTCTTGGTCTGCCTCTCTGATGTCTCTTAGCAAAGCAAAGAGAACAAAACGAAGGATTTGCTAGGGGGTTGAGCCTGGCAAACCTTCAAGACAGCGGCTGCTTTCGTTCAGCTCATCCTTTTGAAGAACGCCGTCACCATCTGCATCACAGATGGAGCCAGTCCCAAGCACTGCAAAAATACAGAAGTCATCTACACCTCTGTGCTTCCAGACATCTACCCTGACCAGTGAGAAAACCCCTAGCCAACACAGATATTGCTCCACTCTTGCCAGCAACAGTAAGTATTTCTTTAGAGAACTCGCTTTCTGTAGAAGTGTTGCACTTCCTAACAAGCAAGAAAAGCAAAAGTAGAGTCATACAAGGTGCTAGCGCCCAACCTGCACAGCTCATGCTCACTACCGCACAACGGGTGCTCAGAAAGGTGCCACCATCCCACCTCATCCCAGATGTGAACGCCAGCCACTGTGACGGCTCCTGTCACATGCCGGCTGGTGCACTCCCTACCTCCCACAGCAGCTGCCACCCTGTCCACTTCCAAAAATACGGTGATCCCCCTCATCACTGGAGGGACAAGACTGCTCCAGGTGGGAGCCTCTGCAGAAAGCAGTCTGGAAAAAAACACTTTGTGCTTGTGAAATTCCCTTTCTGGTGAGCTAGGAGAAAGCAGCAGCAGAGAAAAACTCTTCAGAAAGATCGTGGAAATGGAGAAGAAAAGGGATGCAGCTGATGATGGAGGGCTCAAGAAAAGAAAGGGGATTTCTACTCGTGCTACCTACAGCAACCATGTATTTTAATTAAAAAAAAAAACAAAACAAACCCAAACCAAAACAACCAACCAAATCCAAACTGTTGTCTTCTTGCTCCTATGTCAAAAGGTCCCATTTTTCCATACGGTATTTTTATACTGACTCTTAAGGGTTTTAAA